AATAGTCGGTTCGATCTTTTTCTTAATTCAAATATTGTGGGTACCGATTCTTTATCCTATTATGATAACATATATTTCCTTAATATGATTGCCTCTTATAAAGAAATATTGCATGTGAATTCAAACGATATTAAACATAAATAATCAATAAGAATTCTACTTCATTATGACACAAGCGATTAGGTCACATCTTTCAAAAAGAGAAAATAATACAATGTGTCGACAGAATTCTTGATCCATCCCTGATTTTACGGACTTTAACATTTGTGTTAATTATATTAAGGGGAAACATATAAATATAACGAGATTATGTGCTAATAGAACTTTGGAAGTCTCCGAAATAATTCATAAGGATATCTGTGGGTCATTCTTTTCGACTTCTTAGAATTGTCAACAGTCATTTATCGCGTTCATAGACAATTTTTGTCATTATGGCCACATGTACCTCATTCATAAGGAATCTCAATCACTTCACAAGTTCAAGGCTTATAAGAGCGATGTTGAGAATCATCTTTGTCAAAGGATTAAACAAGTCAAATTTTACCATAGTGGTGAATACTATGATAGATATGATGGATTAGGAGAACAACGTTCAGAGCCTTTTGCTAAATTTCTAGAGTAATGTGGAATTGTCTCACGGTGCACCAGGGTCCTCTGGCAGAAATGGTGTTACTAAGAGACAAAACTAAACAATTAAGGATATGGTAATAAATATGATTAATCATTTCATCTTACCAGAATCTCTCTATAAAGAAGTACTAAAGACTGCAGTTTAAATTCTCAATAAAATTCCAAACAAAGCAATTGTTAAAGGGTTACAATTTTTTTAAAGATCTCACTATTGGGTTAATTTTCGAAATGTGAAATGTCTGATTCTTTAATGATGTAGAGTTTGGGGGGAGATAAGGTTTTAAGGCTAATGATTTTGTCTTTGAAGAAAGATGTGTATACATCACTTTTGTTGCAATTGACAATGATCTAGATCATAGACAAATTTTGTTCCAAATCTTGTTCAAGAAACAATTTCGAATCTAGATAATATTAAAAAATTTCATATACGCAATCAAGAGATTATTTCGAAAAACAAACTCAACAACCTCAAGAATAAATGTCATTAAGGAAACCCACTAGAAAAAAGAGAAAAACAATTTTGGATGACTTTCTAGTCTTTCTCCAAAGAAAAAAGGATGGCATTGGATTGATGGACGTAGATATGATCAATCAACTTTCATTAAGTCATGCAAATGAATAATTCCCAAGAGTGGAATAATGCCATGAATAAAGAGATAAAGTCCATGAAAGACAATGACGTTTGGGAACTCATCCCATTGCCTGGAGGTGTAAGTCAATTGGTTGTAAAATGGATATTTAAAATCAAAAGGGATTCAAATGGTGATGTGAAGGGATATAAGACTCGTACTGTTGTAAATGGCTTAACTCGAGAGTAATGTATTGACATTAAAGATACTTTCTCTCCGATTTTTACGAAAGACTCTTTTATGACTATTATGACACTTGTGACTCATTTTGAATTTAAGCTACGTCGATAGTTTACAAATTAAAAATAAAAATATGTGAGTTTAAGTAGGCTTCCTGTCAATAGTATCATAAATTTCGTCAAATGATTATCTTGATTGGTCTTTAGGTAAATACAGTTGATGATTATGTATATCACAAGTTCAATGGGAGTAAGCATATTTTCTTGGTATTTTATGTCGATAACATACTACTTTCCAGCAATGATGCATGCTTATTGACGAAACTAAGAAATTTCTATCATGAAATTTTGGAATGAAAAATTTTGGTAACGCTTCTTTTGTATTAAGGATACAAATACACCAGGATCATTCTCGGAGTATTTTTTAGATTATTACAAAAGTGCTATATAGAAAAGGTTCTTAGAAGATTTGGGATGCGGGATTGTAACTAGATGATACCCCTATTATTAAGAGAGACAAGTTTAGTCTCAATTATTGCCCCAATGATAAACTTAAAGAAAGGAAAATACAAAAAATTCATCGTGCTTCAGCAGTTGGGAGTTTAATATGTGCTAAGGTTTGCATACATCTGGATATAGCATTCATTATTTGAATGTTAGGCAAATATTTAAATAACTCTGGGATTGATATTTGGAAAGCACCCATTAGATTATTCGATATTTACAGAGAACTAAGGATTACATGATCACATTCGAAAAAATCAAAACAATTGGAGATCATTGGATATTCTGATTTTGATGATAGAATATGACTACAAAATAATGGATTTGAAAAATCACTTTAGTTATTCTGTGACAATAACAGTCTTGTATTCGAACAGAAACCTGATGATATCAAAATTTATAGATATCATGTTGCTAGTTATTAAGGAAAGAATTCAAAGTTGTCAGATTTCTATAAAGCATATTATGACAAATTTCATAATTATGTATCCATTTACTAAATGGCTATCACCCAAGTCTTTCATAAGCATATTGCTCACAAATGTGATATTTTGATGATATGACAGTTTAGTGAAAATTTGTGTTCTGATGTAGTCTGTTTTAGACACATTTTTATCTATGGATATTCTATTTATTTCAGAAATAAAATACTCAATTTAGTTTCACTCTTATTAAAGTTTTTTATTTGATATCCTTAAAGAATAAGATATGATCAGTTAGAAATAGATATGTTTAGATCGCATATGCTACATATCCACACTTGATTTATGTCATTTGATTGCGTTGATATACGTAAAAATTGATGGATGTAGTTATGATATTTGTAATGAAAACCGGTTTGATCCTAAATTGACATAATTGATTGATGAGATTGTTCAGAGAAACTTTTGATTATGATAGCAAAAGTTTTTGAAGTCGTAAAGTCATTCACATTTATAAGGTAAAATATGTGCCTCGAGTGGGAGATTGTTTAGTTTTTTAATCTGTCATATATACCAATATATGTAATTAATTATGTATAAGGCTATCTTCAAGTTAAACTCAATTAAAGTGATGTAATAAATAATTAAAGTTATGGGTTTTGAGCATCTAAATAAAGTGTTAGCCGAATTATATGTGTAGATACCAAATCAATTTGGGTTGTATTTGATGATGAAACAAATACATATGAAAACAATAAGTAGGGTTATGGTCCCCAAGTCATACGTAACTTCTCATTCTTTGTGTCATCACATCAACAAGAGAATGCAATAGAAAATATATTGAAAATGAAGATCTAAAACCCACAATCAAAATCAACAATCAACAATCAAGAAAAATGAATTTAAAAATCAAAACTATAGATCAAAAACCAATATCAAGAATAAGAGTTAAAGAACAAAAGGAGGTAAAATTCAAGATTAAAAGAAAAGAACCAAAACATGAAAAGATTGCAGTTAAATATCAAGATCCAGAAATAAAGAATTATTTTCAAAGAATTAAAGTATGTTCCGCATTATTATTATTTTTGGTGATTTGACATGCAGGCAATAAAGGAATTTAGGTTTTCAAGTTCTAAAGTTTCTATTTTTATAAAGTTTCAACAGATACATCACCTCCTATTGTCGCGTATTTTTTAGGCGATCGACATCATCTGATGGATATCTTCTACAGGCCTTGCCTTGGCCAAGATATACCATTCATCAACATATTTGACAACTCTACAGCAGCGTCCCTTAGTTAACTTTTCAATTTGTGCGAGCATATAGCAACCACATGTCTAGGATAACTGTTTTTCAACCTATAATTAGATGACCACATGTCTAGACAGTCATGGATTAACACAGTTTAGCTTGTCCAACAATCGTTGGGATGAGGTCACATGTCAAGCGTCCAATAAACTTTAGCACATCTCTGGGTATAAATATTCACACATTGACTTCCAAATGTAATGTGATTTTGAATGCAAGATTACTCTCTCAATCTTTATAATATTCTTTCTTCAACCTATAGTCGTATTTCCCTCCATTGTGTCTCTCATATCCAAATAACTTTCATAATTTGACTTAGGGACGAAGTGTCCACGACCATCGCACCCCGTTGAAGTGATCGAGTCTAACATAATTTCCAAGCATGCAGATAACGCCGCAAACAAACAGATTAATTGAAATCAGTTTATGACGTGATTTCATCCAAATGACTTTTATTTGGATACATGTTTAATTAGTTCAACGATAAGCCCCTGTTTAGTTTAGTTAATAATTAAATTTTCAATCGATTTTGATATAAATAATAGATCTCGTAAAATGTCCCATTGAAAATAAATTTAAAAAATGAGGACCAAAACAGAGCTAAAATGCGCTTTATTATTTATTTTTATTTTTAAATTTTGATAATATCGAGAAATTTATAGGTAAGAAACCGACAAATTCCGAGAATACGACTCAAAAGCGGGCACCAAACTTGACCACAGGTCCGAAACTCCCTTCCCAGCAAATACTAGTCCACAGTATTAATGAAGAAAATAAAATGAGTCATGTTATATGTACATTTTATCTCCTACGTTAATTTTTACATTCTTCCACATATTACTATCATAGCCTTTGATTTTCTCGACACCTTTTAACATCACTGATCAGATTGTTCCACGTAGGAGATAATATAGTGGAAGATGTATACAAGAATGTACATTTAGCGAAATTCATAAAATATACTCAAACCACACTTAAATTAAACCCAGTCGGCGCTTCTTGTACGTGGCAAGATGAACAGAAGGCACCACAATTTTCAACTATCGTGTTATCATCGAAAATGTGCAAGTACGTACTACACTGTTGGTGTATATGATCCACTAACTCCCTTTAAGGTTTCAAGCTCCAAAAAATAAAAGCACACAAATATGCATTGATGATTTAACTCTCAAGAATAATAACAAGGATTAATTATGGGATCTGAAAAGAAAATCAAGATCTGAAGTGGTTAAGTTTCAATACAATCATGAAAAAACTGGAAAATCATACATACATATGTACAAATGCTAAGATTACTGCCTCACATCATAGAAATATTTGAAAAATGCTTACATCCACAAAGGTGGAGGCTCGTTCAAGTCGATGGCCAACCCACGTCTTACTATACCGAAATACTTCGCTTCGCCGTCGCCGGACTCCGCCACCGGAGTTCCAGAAGAGCCGCCCACTTCCGTCGTGCTGTGATCACCAGCCCTGAAGCTCACATCGTTGATCTCATTCACGCCATTATGAAGAAAGTTGTTAATCATGAGCCTGCCAGAAGGCGAGGCACACGGGTGTTCGGTCTTAATGTTGATGTTCAAAGACAACCCCGGCGACGGATTGGGAAAGTTGGTTTTGGCTTTGGTACCACGGAGGGACCTGGCGGCGCAGTCGTAGGCTAGTGCAGCATCCTCCGGTGTGTCGAAAGTGCCTAACCAAACCCGGGTTTTCTTCCAAGGGTCACGTATCTCTGCTGCATAGCGGCCCCATGGGCGCTTTCTGACTCCTCTATAATGACCCTCACGTGCGGACGCCATGGAAGAAGAGAAAATGTTTTAGATAGAGAAAGGATGGGTTATAAGAGAGAGAGAGTTGAAGAGAGATTTGTGTTTTGCGGCAATTGTACAAAACTAGGGGATCCACGGTCTCCCGTAATCGTCGGCTGGGCGGCACGAACCTTTAGCCCTGGTACATATTTTGAGTCCAATAATATATTTTTTTATTTGATTTGATAGGAAATATGTAATTGAAAAAAAATGAAAGGTTATTGATGTGATAAAAAATATTATTTTATTGAAAAATGTGTGATTGAAGAATGAGAATGAAAAAAATAATGTGACTCAAACAGAGGCTTATTATCTGTAGCACAACACCTGGTCATAGTTCAATCTGTTCCGTTGGATATTTATTAGATCCATTTGTCACAAGAAGAGTATTTGCCTATTTGGATTTAAAAGTAAATTTTTATTTTTTTTAAAGCTATTACAAAAAAAAAAAAAAAAAGATTGTGGTGGTTGTTAATTTAGACCCCATTTGACTGTTATTAATTTCTTGTAATGTATTATAAAATATTAAATTGATAGATAATGCGTAATTAAAAAGTAAGAAAATTTTATTGATTTGTGTATAAAATATTTTATTGAGTGAATGTGTGATGAATAATGGTACTGTAACAAATTATTTAAAATTTTAAAAGATGACAAACAACGGATTAAAAAAATTGTTTGGGTGTTAGCACGAGTCATTTTGCTTTGTAATATAATACATATTTTATTTAATTACTAATTAATTCATAAATAAATATTTCATATCATTCAAAATAAATATTTAAATTCAAATTATCACGACATAATTATTTTACTATATATTATGTTTTACATTTTAACCAAACAACTTATGATATATATTTGTTTCTTTATAATTAAATTTGTATATATTTGACACTTTTACTTTATTAAAAAGAATAATAGTGTTAATTTAAAAGTTGTAATAATAGAGATTCTAAAATTCTGAGTAAGGTGGATTTGAAGTTTCTTTAAAAAGAAAAACAATTTTGTCAAACTTTAACCAAACATCAATTACTTTAGTNTGTTTCTTTATAATTAAATTTGTATATATTTGACACTTTTACTTTATTAAAAAGAATAATAGTGTTAATTTAAAAGTTGTAATAATAGAGATTCTAAAATTCTGAGTAAGGTGGATTTGAAGTTTCTTTAAAAAGAAAAACAATTTTGTCAAACTTTAACCAAACATCAATTACTTTAGTGGAAAAAAAAAAAGATTTTATCCTCCAAAAAAATACTTTCGTATTTGAGAAATGACAGTATTCGTTTACAACTATGAACTCTAATTCTTCAAGTAGATTTATGTGGCCTTTGTTTATTTTTCAAATTATTCATATATTGAATCACATGTTTTACTTGTAATAAGCAATATTGCATTGACCAACTGATTGACAGATCGATTGAATTAAAATTGGTCCAAAAGTTGATCCATAAAAAAATTCAAAGGTAAAAAGTAAGAACCGTATAAAATTTTTTGGAACCCACACGTTCATTTGAACCGAGCTTAGCTTACAGAGGTGGGAGTTCACAGAACCTCCACCGGTCACTCACAAGGCATGGGTCGGCAAATTTTTTATCCATTTTTTAATAAGCTCAGTCTCACATGGGACCCACCTTATGTAAGAGGTGATAGAACATCTGTAAACCCATTTTCTGTATATTTGGCTTAACTTCGTTCATTTTACGAAAATCAATACTTTTTTTATTTATTAATAGTATTTTTAATTACCTATTCAAGCTTTTTACTCATACATGTTTGGAAATTGTTTAATTGATCTAACGGCCTGTTTGATGGGGATTGAATTCCTTGGAAAATGGAAAGTTAATTCCATCGGTCAAATTGCCTTGTTTGATAGGCACAAATTTCCCAAGAAATCTATTTCCACTCAGCAGCTCCACGTGCCCAATTTCCCACTTTTTCATGAATTAGATTTCCCACCTAGAAATTTGATTCCAACTTTTTTTCTTTTAGCAATGAAAACAAATTTCATAACCAAGTTTTAAAAAAAAATCATTTTCATGGACAATTTTGATGCAAACGAAGGCCAGATGAATACTAAACTTTGACTAAAAAAATGATTTTTTAGAAAACTTTTTTTTTTTTTTTACATAAATTTTTTTTTTTTCCTATTTAAAATTTTTTTTTTTTTTTGGTTTTTCTTTTTTTTTTTTTACTTTTTGGCAATGTAAACAAATTTTATAACTAAGTGTGGAAAAAATTATCACTTTAATGAATAATTTTGATGCAAACGAATATAAAATTTAAAATTTTTTCGAGTGGAAAATTATACCAATCAAACACACTTAATTAACAATTCTTTACGAAACAATTTCTAGGCAATTACATTCCCTAAAATTCATTTTCTTTTCACCAATTTTTCACTCTCGCAATCAAATGTACCCTAAGTTACTAGTATTTCAAATGATAGGCCAGCTACCGACAATTACTAGTGGAGAATGGAACACAATCTGGCCTCCCTGCAGGGAACAAGAGGATTGACTGATAAAGAGAATTAATTGAATAATGTTACTCGTAAATGATTATGTATATATTTGATGTATAGATTGATGATGTGAATTATATTAATTAATTTTTTTCAAAAAAATAAATTATACATTATCATTTACAATTTTTTAAAGGATTAATGAGGTGACAATAAATTGAATTAAAATTGTCAAAATCTCTTACCGCTTAAAAGATTGTGCTTACGTAATATGGACTAATGACAAAAAGAAACTGGGATAATTTTTTTTATTTAGTTGGTGAGATTTTGACTCAACCGAATCTCGTCATGACATCTGTTGGTAAATAAATTTGTAAGTTGTGATGTAAATGTAGCTCATTTGTTCTTTTTCTATCTTTGTATCTCTCTTCCACATTATCTATCTATACATCAATCTGTACACAATGATATATATGAATAACATTATCTAGTATTACTGATGTTAGAGCACCAGTGAAGGTGATCATATTTGATAAGATCAATTCAATGAATTATGTAACATTACATTTAAATGAATATATCATTTAATACTATATAATTGTCACTTAAATGGAGTCTTGACATCGATAGTACTTAATATCATTAATAATATATAATATATTAAATATCACATCAAGTGAGCATCATTTTGGAACGACTAGAGTCCTACGATTATTTTAATACCCTACTTTTCATTTTTCAACATATTTTTACTATGCACACTGTAATAAATACTATAATTAATTCCCAATGAATTAATATTCACATTCATTTAATTAATATTAATTTGAATTTCACATTCACATTCCGTCCATGTTTATGTTATTAATTCCAATATTTATAAAATTAACCCGGCTATCGATCCTAAAAGGAGAAATGGTCAATGTTCAAAAATTTGAATCAGGATACAACCGTGGTTTTTTTAATATATATATATATACACACACACGCACACACATTAAGTGAACTTCACATTCAAGAATGAAGTTCATTATTCATGTCTATGTATGCTAATTTAGCATCCACTTTCATATTCATTCAATATAAATGATTTAACATTGCCACTCATGTATTCCTTGATGTTAATTCTAAATTAACTAAAATTCACATTTCGTATTTGCTATTCATCTTCATCTATACATTAGTTGTAATTCTAATATTCACATTCAAGTATGCATTACACTATTTATATGCATATATAATAATTAACATTTATTTTCAGGGGCTTGCCATTCATCCACTCGCAACGCATGTTCAACTCTAACTAATGCGTACAAATATTAAATAGTAATACTCTGAAATATTTATAAAGAATTGTGTGGGCCGTACAATAATTTAGCCCATGTTTGATAGCTATTTTTTTCAAAGAATGAGTTTTTGTATAGTAATTTCTGAATAAATTTATATTTATGTTAAAAATATTTTATTGTGATAACATGATTGAAAATGAGTATGAGAAAAAAAAGTGTTTTGAAATAATGATTATCAAACATGGGTTAAGGCCATCTCCAATGACAACACCAAAACACCAAATTTCACCAAAAATTGGTGCAAAAGTGTTCCAGTGTGGACCAAATTTTGTACCATTTTTCCAAAACGGTGCAAAGTTCAATTTGTCTCCTTTTTCATTTGTCAAAAGAATTGTTGAACGATATTTGTATCATTTGCATTATATAATTTTTAATACAATTGTTGTTGTTATTATTATTATTATTATTATTATTATTTACATTTAAAATAAATTTTAAATGTTAAAAATAATAATTNTCGACTTCATAATATCATAATATTCAAATTCGAAATACACTGCACTATTTTGTAATGACATGATATAATACTTTTCATTTTGAAGTGATTCTACTAATTGTACTATGTTTTAATACTATATTTATTAATGAATTTAATATTTTCTTTAATTTAACATAATTATTTATTTAATAATATATGTATTTATAAAATAAATAATATTTCGAATAAATAAATTACTTATAATAAAAAAAAAAAGAAGAATATGGTTAAATACTGTTCATTTGATGTAAGACTATATTTGATTACTATTCTTTTCCATGGAACTAAGAATTGATTTTTCATTTCCTACCTTTCGGTTTTTTTGATGCACAATATTTTTTTAGCAAAACATTTTCCCACATTTGTCCACACGTGCACATTTGCTTGGTTTCTGTGGAATTGCTTTTCCCACCATTTTGGTGGGAAAATAGAATGCCACAATTTTTTTTATTTTTTTTTTTGCAATTGGAACAAATTTTATAATTAATTATAATTTTTTTTCACTTTAATGGACAATTTTAATATAAAATAAAGTCAAACGAATACTACACATTGATTAAAAAAATGATTTTATAGGGAATTTTTTTTTTTTTTTGGCAGTGGAAACCAATTTTATAATCAATTGTGAAAAAAATTACAACTTCAATGTATAATTTCTATGTAAAACAAAGTTTAACGAATATAAAATTTAAAAATTTT